AAAATGAGGACCCGGATTGTTGTTGGGGGCAATATGCTGACTCTGTAAACCGCTTAGAGGGGGCTGAAAGCCCTATGAAGCAGTATATAAGTCTATTGCTATTGCTATATGTTGAGGTCTACCTGTATTAGTACTGCAAGTTTAATTAGTGCAAAGAGCTGACCTTTAACTACTTAGCCTCCATTCCCCACCCCTCCTCCCTCTGTTCTTGGACATGCAAAATCCTCTGGGCCTGCGCAAAAGCCTGAGCCAGTTTGCACCTCCACACTTGTCTTTTGGCAATACGAGTGGAAATTAGCAGAGGATACCTGAAAATGCCTTGCTCTGAGTAGATTTCCCAGCAAATCACCCTGAATGAAACACCATTTTCTATTTCCCTCTCTACGTTAATTCCGCACAGGCTTTGAGTCCTCCTATTTACTGTACCTCATCCACTTGAGGGAAAAAAGAACTGTTCTGAATAGCATGATGAAAGGATCCATGTGGAAACCTGACAGGTTTTAGGGCGCTCTCAAGATTGGTTGCATGTTTAAAGCCCCCCCCCCCCCGAGCCTTCCTCACAGCATGGGGGCCAGCCATAGCATAGATCCTTCGATAGCTGACATGCAATAGGAGACTTCTGAGTGTGACAGACCAGTAACGTGCATTGGAAGCCCAAGTATCCAGATCTCTTTCATTTTGGTCTTTGCACAAACTTTGGCAACTCATTATAATGGACCCTGGCTTGGGAAAATTTCATTTTCTTTACCACCTGACTACAGAAGGGCATTGGGTTCCGATTTAAGGCAGAGAATGCAAGCACCCTCAATAATCCCCATACTATTTATTGGATATCATCATTATAAAGACTCCTCTCCTTCCTTCTTCCCTCCCTTTCTTTTTCTATTGTTATAGGTCTCTCTTTCAAATCTCAATTTGTGTTTTCTTGGGGTTGGTATTTCCACAAACCCATATAGTTTCATATAATTTCCTTTTTTCCCTCTTTCGTTCTACAATCTGTATCCCCGCTATCGTCCTGAATTGATTTCACCATTCTTAACCTTCTTATTTTATTAATCATCTTGTCTCTTTTAAATAAAAATTCATTTAAAAAAAGACTACAGAAAGTCTTAAACAGATTATCTTGCAGAAATCTTTGACATCTGAACAATTGTTATTTATTTATTGATTTATAAAGGGTTTCTCCCTTACGGATGACCTCTGGAGAGACCAGCACAGCTAGTCTTCCATTTCCAGGAACACATGTAGTTTGAGGGTGACCAGAGGCGTAAGGAAATTACGGTAGATCACCCTAATTTTGGACATAGAAGATCCTCCCCACGAGCTGCACTGGTTACCAATCGGTCTCCGGATACGCTTCAAAGTGCTAGTCGTAACTTATAAAGCCCTTCATG